ACGTTAAGTAAAGTAACGTACGTACGTTAATTACTTAATTTAGTTCTTTACTTATTATTATTATATCTTATTATCTACCCTCCTCCTTCTTCGTCTCGTCGTCGTCTCTCTCTCTCTCTCTCTCTCTCTCTCTCTCTCTCTCTCTCGCTCTCTCTCTCTCGCTCTATATATATATTATAACGATCGATTCATAGCGTGACTCACGCTGTATATCAATACCGTTAAACCCCCGTTAAACGCATTTAAATCCCTAAATGTGTACACATACATTTAGAACGTTTTCAAATTTTGGTTCGTGAAATGTAATGATTTTTTCACCATCCTATAGCGCACGTAAATTAGTTAAGGAAACCGATTATATTTGCTTCAGACAACATTTCTTGGGGAAAAACCTAGCGAGTTGGCTCGCAGGTACGGCCAGACCGTTTGTCTTGACATGCTGCTAAAGGCTGAAGCCAAGAACGCATTGCTAAGCTACATTAAAGAGACGAAGGACATGATCGCGGATCAAGATCGCGTGCAAGGAAAACTCACGAAGGATGAGATTAAGATCATTTCTAACGCATGCAACGGAAAGCATGAGTGGGTAACTGACAGCTATCAAAAGGTAGCAACTGCGGAAATCAGCAAGGCAAAAGATGACTTATGCAATGCAATCTCTACTATTATAGCTAAAGTTAATAACCAAAAATAGATCTACAATGTACGGTATCATAAGGTGGTCATTTAGAACGTCATTTAATTTCAATAGCTATTATGGACTACGGGCTTTGTATTGTTTTATGATGAATTGCTTAAATTCGTTATTAAAGTTAGAACGTCTATAGTATAACATTTCTCTCTCTCTCTCTCTCTCTCACGTCAGTCTCCTGGGCGACACAGGTAACTTGTGAACTTCCTCAATATCGAACACGTCAGTCTCCTGGGCGACACAGGTCATTTGTGAACTTCCTCCATATCGCTCGGTTAGTCGCCTTCCGCTCCATTACCCTCCAGGTGTCGCCCTTCTTTTTGAGTTCCGCCTCCGAATCTCGCCTCCAGGTTACTTTAGGTCTTCCTACCCGACGTCTTTCTTGCGGGTTCCAGCTCAGCGCCGTGCGTGTTATGTCGGTCGCTTCCTTCCGCAGTGTGTCACCCACCCAGCCCCATTTCCTTCTTCTCGTTTGAATTTCGATGGACATAACCTTTACATGCTTGCTCTTTAGCGTCTCATTACACGAATTTGTTTAGCAGAACATTGCGTAACACGAATTATGCGCGCACGTGTTGAAACGCGCTCGAATGTCGTAATCCACCCTCACGGCCTCACCCACATACAAATCAACATATAAATTAAGGAAAGGAGTTTTCAGTAATCATAGAGGATAGGAACAGCACATTGGTGACGGAGATGAATGAGTACAGTACAATGAAGGAGAATGGGAAGGGTGGTAGTGGATGGGATGGTTCTCTCACGCACGCACGCACACACTCCTCCCCAATACGCCTTCCATACTATCTTCTCTCGTCTTGTAGGAAGCCGAAAGAAATTCTATGTATAATTGAAGTAAAGCAAAACAATAAATTACTGCTCACCAATTTCGTAAAACCAGTATTATTTCATAATTTATTCGTGTGATTCATTGAACATAATTTAGTAATTCCCACAATTGACACTTGTTACGAGACTGCGCGAGAAATTCAGCAGCCGATAGAATATATGAGAACACTACAGTGATCAAGTTCAAGTTAAGAATAAAAAGCACAACATAATAGTTTGCGTTAAAGTTAATGTTAGGAAGGTTAAATTATTTTCTATATATTATTATTTAAATAAAACCAAAAGATACGATCAAATAATCGGGAAAAACCGTTACCAGTTAAACTTGTAAATACACACACACATACACACAGCTGCAGAGAACAGTGCTAGATTTTTTTTAAACAATTCGTAATTAGAACATTGATCAAACACAAGGTGGGAATGAATTGAAAGCATCACAGAATAGAAAGAAGCCAATGACTAAAGTCAAGTGCACATCACACCTCTTGCATGGTTACGTGGCACACACCAACTTCTCACTACTGCCACTGCCAATAGTATTATATTGAATTTGATATATATCTGTTCATTTGATTTCATTTAAATACTTACTAAAGCAAATTCTAATTAGATAACGACTGATTTAACCATTCAATAATTTATAAACCGGGTTTCCAAGGGTTGGCTAGCAAACGCTGTAGTAAAACGGGGTAAAGTCTGTTGGAATAATTCTCTGGTTCCATGCCACTTTACTCAAGTGCAAGTTGGTTTAAATCATTTCTTTGAAGTACAGACCATCATATCAAGTTTCACATTTGGTTTGTGGCTTAAATATCAAATTATACAACAATTAATCAATTACTGTGATTCAAATCACTTTAGGCATAGTTACTGTCATATATATATATATGCATTTCAATAACACTTCATTCTCCACGGCATGCCAAAACCTTTATACAAACATTCAACATCTATACAAAAATACCTTGGTTAATTAACCAGTGTCTGTCTGCAAGAAAGTCAACATAACAGAAACAACGGTTATATGCGAACTTCATAATACAAGCGAACTTTCAAAGGTTACCTAAACTTCAATGTGCTTCACATGTACAATATGCTCGCAGTGTTACACATCCTAATCTCTAGCTTTACAACAACAATATATGTGAACTTGTGGCCTCAAAGACACTTGTGTGGGAATTTATATCCATAATACAATTTACCAATACACTGACAACATACCAAACACTATATTTAGCAAATTCTAACAGTGTGCTTAATATTACTTTAGGCATTCAGCTTTACGTACTCAAAGAGTTTCCCCAGTTTTTCCCATTCATAATTGCCACTAATTAAAGTCAGGAATAAGACGTCTTACATTTATTACATATAATAGCGTCTGATCTTACATTAATTGTGTAGCTACTCTAAGTTCAAGAAAACAAGATCTCAGTAATAATTCATCATAGATTGGTCCACAGCCATTTCTATGACACAGTATATAACCCTGTTGAGTATGGTTTATGACTAATAGGGCGACAGATCTAAGCGTGTTCCTTATTACATAACGCAGTTGTTAAAATTAGAAAAAGTTAAAATAACTGTAGACAATACATTAGTGCAGGCTTAGTGTAAATATAAAAGAGTAAAGGAAGAAAACACAAAGATCATTTTTCCCTAATATCCAGAGCAAACAACATAGGTTATTCCTGTATTGGTTAGACTACTATTGCTAACTTTAAAGACAGTTGTTCTATTGTGTAGTCTTACATAATGAAACAGGAGTAAAATTTCTTCATCTTAAATTCATCAATTGCATTCACCTACACCTAAATAACAAGATTATGTCAGGATAAAATTTAAGCCTCCTTACACCAGTGTCCAGTCATCAGAGGGCATTACATCAGAGGGAGACACCTAAACAAATCTACCACTTCTTCTTGTGTTCATCCATACTCACACCACCTGGTCCCAAAGCTACGACCAGCAGCAACCCACCAATAACAGACATGGTCTGGAAGAAGTCATACTTAACAAAGTCTCTCATTGGTCGATAGTCGGGGATATTCCACCAGGCGTTATACCAGAGGTTAAACATAAAGAGGTATATGACGAGAACAAGGGCAGATAACTTCGTCTTGTAGCCAACAGCAACCATGAGCATGAGTGAAGTACTGAAGAGGTTCTGGATAATTTGCAGAGGTGACAACTCGAAACGCAGCAGCGTCAGGAACATGAAGACAAGCAGAATGCGGCCAGCAAGCTGCATGTAGGTCTTTGGTGTCTTCTGGTCGAGAGATGGCACACCGGCAAATAGGCTCTTGGCTTCGGTCTGGCATTCGGCCCACAGAAGCAACAGACCTCCACCTAATGCAAGGCTCCTGCGGAGAATCGAGAGAATCACGAATATAGTACATGGAGTGCATAGGTATTCCAGTGCACTATATCCTTGGCTTTACGATATAGTATGTCAAAAACACATTGGACAGCATTTTCAATAAAGATTGACGATGTACACTACCATGCACAGTAAACTGATATGATCATGATATTATTTATAAATAGTCAAAAACAGATAATTGTTGAACTCACCTAAGCAAGAATGTTCCTTCCCATAAAATGTTGTAAGCGATGGTCTAAAAGAGAACAAAATTTACAGTGCATTTCTAAATTTGGGTGTAGCAAAACAATTAATAATTTCAACAATGATTCATTATTAAACAAGTGTAAAATGCGATTGTAAAATGCGAACAAGTGTAATATGATGAATTAAAGAAATTGTCTAGATTGTGAACCATGCCTCTTCTTTCTCAAGTAAGAATTCAGTGTATCTAAAATTGTTGGAAGTAATCTATTGTACTAATAACATCTTCATTCACAGATACAGTTACACTAACAACATTAATTAACACCATAAAATATTCAAGATCCCATGCCATTTTCATACAGGTTCATAGTGTATTATAAACAACAATGAAACTAACCTGTATCATTATGACACTTCCAAGTATAGCACATGCAATTGGAACCTTGATTCTTGCTAAAACCATCGCACACCCGCCGAGTTGTCCTATCATATTGACAATGACAAACAAGTTAGAAACGAGCCTTCCCCATCCCCAAGTCGCATCCATGTAGTCAGCTTGCTCATTCCACTGAAACCACATCCGAACGCCATCCTCGAGAAATGTGGCGATGAGGCACAGGCGTGCTATGTGGGGCAAAACATGCTTGCTATGCCGTAAAACCTGCAAAAAACAATGACCGATTTAGTGCGTGGCCAGAACTGTAACACGGATTAGTTTAATACAAAGTTTATGCTATCAACTGCAATTGAACATTGTAGGCCTACAAGTCTGTGCTGTTTGTATCCTAAACATAACTATAACGTTTCGTTTTCATATTTTACATCAATATGTATCTAGCAACCCTAAGTGTAATCCACACATTAGAGCTGCTGCCACCGATTAAAAATATGAGGCCACTAGTACCTGGAATAATGTCTAGCTGGCTCTACTAGCAGGTAAATAAATGATTTCCAAGTGGAAATTTACTTGGAAGAAAAAATTGATATGTAGCCAAATTTAACTGAAAATAATGTTAAAAGCTAGAGTAGTGATAGTATTTAACTATTTATGCCATATTAACATTGTACAGTTAGCCATTAACAGACAACAGATATTACACAGTAAATTATGTTATGCTTTGACAAGGTTCTGTTTCTTAATGTGGAATAAATTAGTAGCAAACACACAAACACAACTATTCACCTATTGCTTTTCTTAATTACCATAATGAACAGATCGGTAGTTTGTGTTTTTACTTACATACATATGCTAATAAGGAAAAGGCTTCTATGGTTATTTCAATTCAAAGTAATTTGGCCAGAAACTGATACTAGTGAGAAAGCATCAGTATGGTACGTTTAAGATTGCATTTACTGTCATGTTGCATCATTGCAGTACACTGCAGCTAAGTAAGGTGACATGCCTGACCTGAAGCCCATTAACGAAAACAAATGTTAAAGTCACATACTGGTCAAGTAAATATAGACTTGGTAACCATGTTTACACCACAGTTTTATTTTCAAAGCCAATCGACATTCACGCCAAGCTCAGTGACTTATACTTGCATTTTGCTGTGAGTTATTGTAAAAATATGTGCTAGAGATTTTATGGAAACTAGAACGCTATCTTTAATACAGTCTATAATGTACACACATTGTGGCACCAAGTTATTTTATAAACACTGCACGTGTCAAGACTCTACAAACATGGTTCCCAGATTGCCCTGGGCAATTGAAATGATGACCAGGCAACAGATTTATCAACTAGTTGTCCCCGCAAGCTTTTTCATGGGGAGGGAGGGAGGCTTTTCATAACAGCCATATCAAACACCCAAACAAAATTCACATACATAATTATACATATTGCTCAAGGAGTGTCAGCTTTTCCCTTCTGCCAACTTTACACCTTCCAATTTGAATTCATAGACCTGTTTAGAATGACATTCCAATTGCACCTAGCAGTGCCTAAATCTCTAGAACTGTTACTATCATTACAGGCTTTCCAGCAGTCCTTGACAAGATTTTAGGGCTAATTTTAGGAAGAAATTCAGGTTTTTTTAGGGCTATTTTAGGGATTTTTTAGGGATGAATTGAAACATTTTAGGGATAAAATAAGTCACTTACCTAAAGTTACCTTTCATAAACATCGACGTGTTAACTTACAGATACAATTCTATGTGGTATGTGTCCAGTCTACCAGCTATTCCTATCCTCCAAGTCCTCGATACGACTGTACATCATCAAGTTTCATGCAAATTAGGCATGTCTTGTACATCCAGCCAGGAACAGAGTCGTATAATCAGACACTGAAGCTTAGGAATCACTGGTAGACTGAGTCACAATACTCACTCTGTATAAAGATAACTAGAAAACATCCATTACGATTAAATTACAAACCAAAAGTTCATAATCTCATCACCAAAAACTCCAAACATATCTGTGGAATTTATTTTTTAGGAATTTGAATAAAATTTTAGCCCTTTTTTGGAATTTCATACATTTTTAAAGTTTTTTTAGGAATTTTAGGACGAGCTTAAAATTTTAGGAATTTTTAGGATTTTTAGGGCTGCTGGAAAGCCTGTCATTAGGAATAACAAGAGCCGCAGAGCGTCTGGGCTCATCTGAGGTCTGTTGCTACCTTTGTTAGGCGCAGATATGCAGATACGCAGTTGCGTACACATCATTTCAGCAACCTTCTGCATTCTGCATACCTCCCAAATCTCATTGGTTGATACAAATCGCGTGCCTGAAACTCCTGTTTTATGGTGCATTGTGACCCTAACCCTAACCCTATTAAAAAATATAAACAAATTAATTGTAAACATTATTTGTAAAGAATTATATTATTTGTATTGTTGTAAATAAATCATGTAAATATTTGCATTAAAGCGTCTATTGTGAGAATTTTCCAGTGTTTTCCCCACTTTCATGATACCTACCGTTATTGCTTGAGTAACAGCAATTGTCTAGAGTAATGATAAAATGTCTTAGAACCTTCGTATTCACCAAATCCAATGAAATCATGCACGATTACAATTTTGCGTTCTGTTTCTGTTTACCGTTGCCATCTCTCGAATTTTCTCGCGGTAGCCCAAGATATCTATCACAGTGCAGCAATGCATACCACGCACCATAGAAATCAGGTCAGAGTGTAAACACAGACGTCCATACTAGCGTAAACAGCAGTGTAGTACTAATGCAACGTAAAGTCTGTTATTAGAGAAGCTTGTGGATTGCCAGTCAGATAGTAACACGGGAATGACAATGCCAGAAAGTGCTCTGAATTATTGACATAAAAACTCAATAATATTTACCAAACGGAATTCCACGCCCTTTTGTTTTAATTATGTTCGCTTGTTTGAGATGCCATTTGTGATTTTTGAGAGTCGTGACACGATAAAATTTATTGCTGGTATGATGTGGTCAAATCAATTTTTCTATGCTATAACTGCATAAAATCTTGGTGTTTTGAATGTTGGTATAATCAGTGATATTTCCACTGTCAGGTGAGACTATATTCAGCTATATTTAGTTTTTCTGAGCCAAAAAACTCGCAATAATCACTTTCGAAATTCGCAATTTTACAATTTGAAAAAAATAGTTAAATGGATAAAGATAGAAAAATACAGAAAACAGGTAAATAATAAAAAATCTGATGGGATTCGATCCAACGACCTTTGAGCCATGACACCTGTGCTGTACCCGTTCGGCTATCCAGGCTTATTGGGTTTCTAGATTATGGATGTGCCATGAATATGACAACACTGTCACGTCATTGAGGCAGTTGAGGAATCCATGTTTAACCCTCCTCCTGAGGGTCTAAAGGTTATCAGACACTTACTCTTCGCACGTCAGTGGAAAGCCCATTTCATGGTCCTTTCAATAAAATGATAAAAATGGTAGGTCAGCGCTGAAACAATAAAGTTTTTCACTCTGTCCATTAGCCCATGTCCTCAGAAAATGTCTGATATCTGACCTTTCCCCCACTGCCCTTTGACCTGTGACCTCCAATTTCGCACTGGTGATGGGTTTCCTGCCCATCACACTATACTCCGAATCAGGCTTCTCCCTACGTTGCACAAACCGGGCGCGCCCGCCCCATTTGGGAAAACTCCCCCCCCCCCGTTTCAATCCTTGCGCCACGTTTAAATTATTTCTGCCCCGATTAAAAAAAAAAAATATTTTTTAAAAATGGGAATGGCTACATGAGGAACAGGATGAGTGAGTCAGCTTTGGAGGCGCTGCTGCTACTGGCAATTGAGGGGCCACCTCGGCAAGAATTCCCATTCAACCCACTGGCAGCAAGAACAAGTCCGCACCTGCAGCTACAGCACACACGCATCTATTGACTATATATAACAACGTTATATATAGTTGTTATAGTAGTTATAGTTGTTATAGTAGCTATAGTTGTTATAGTAGATATATATAACTATATATATAATGTTGTTATATATAGTCAATAGATGCGTGTGTGTTGTAGCTGCAGGTACAGACTTGTTCTTGCTGCCAGTGATTCGACCAGGCCCCCGGACACCCCTAGTTTCCCCTCCCCCTCCCCCCCCCCCCTCCCCCTGTTTCAATTTCATCCTGGGGAAAACCCTGCAAATATTAAGAGCATAGGTCGAGCCGTTAAGATTTGTGCCGCAATTCCGTATTTCCTCCTATACCTTAAATTAAGGGGGAAATATTCCCCCTCCGTTTACACATCTTGACCTTTGACCCTTGACCTCCCCAAATTTGTCATCCTGAGTCCTTTTCACGAATGCACACTGACACATAAATATACAGCAGGTATAGGAAAGCGTGCTGCCAAAATTCGCTCGACGCTCGCTTGATTTCATACAAATACAACACAAAAATTCAACCATTCTACTCCATCTTTGTTTCTATTTAAAGAACAGTGTTCACTTGTTATAAAAACATACCGTCTGTGTTCGTAACCGAGCTGTGTCACACGAAATCACACAAAGCCTGGCAAAATTCTCGCGTTCGCTCCCGTTGCGCAGTTTATGTAAATGGCTGTCGGAATCAGGAAACACCCACAGGCGCTCTTCGTGACCTCATTTTTGCGCCGCAACGCTGCAACGTTTTTGCAATGCTCCACTGGCGGCTTTGACAGGGCTCACACGGGAGTTGGAAAGCAGCGTGGTAGTTTCCCAAAATGCAGTGCGCTGCCTAAAGCCCTGTACTTGCAGCCATTTACATAAATTGCGCAACGGGAGCGAACGCGAGAATTTCGTCAGGCTTTGTGTGATCTCGCGTGACACAGCTCGATTACGAAAACAGACAGTATGTTTTTATAACAAGTGAACACTGTTCTTCAAATAGAAACAAAGATGGAGTAGAATGGTTGAATATTTGTGTTGTATTCGTATGAAATCAAGCGAGCATCGAGCGAATTTTGGCAGCACGCTTTCCTACCTGCTATATATTTATGTGTCAGTGTGCAGCACAGCAGCTAGCGTGCGGCGGCCAGCGTGTGACAGTGTGTTGCACTTGCAGATGAGCATTTGGACGGCATTTACAGGAAATTGTTGGCAACAATACTAGGTCACAAAGTAGAGAAACATTAAGACTTTGGTAGTACTAGTAAATAGATTTCGTATTTATTTAGCATTCTATTTTATTGAAACGCTCCAACGTCCAAGTGCCTGTGAGGCTGTGTTACCAACCGGCTTTATTTGGTAAAAAGCTGCTAGTGCTAGACAGAGTAGACATACCTGATCAGCGATGTCTTCCAGTTTACTTATGATCGGGTTCTCTACAACCATTTTGTAAACTAGTCGTGAGTACGGGCGATCCTGGTATTACGTCGTATTTTTTGATAAATATGTTTAACTCTCTTCTTGCAACCTGATGATGTTCTAACTAAGGATATCGCCGGCCGAAAGACACCTCGTTATCAAGAGGAAGTGAACCTAGTAGGCCACATCATCGCTGTTACGGCCTCGTTTTCACACCACGTAGCGAACCCGCACTTCCGGCAATGAAACTAGCGGATTAGCTATGTCACAGTAACAGCTAGTAATAAATACAACAAATACTTCCGTGAGAGCATTAGTAAATCATTGTTTATCTTATTTTACTATAAAATAATACATAGCCATTCCAAATTAACAGAATAAAGTACCCTTGTCCAGAAGTAGATTCAACATTTGATAATTTACCCGCGAGATGGAGCCATGTTTAAAAACAGGAATCAACGTTTACCATAGTCAACATTATCGTTGACCCTGAAGTGAAGGTATTCCTTATGAACAAAAACTATTCTTACTGGTATAGAGTACCATACATTAATGATTTTGGGGTAGTATGGATTGAGAGTTATGTATGGGACATAAAAATGCTTAGAGCACTTCTGTTTTGGTACCTGACTTGGTTGCTACTGACTGACTGTGTTCACTGACTTCGTGACTGAGTGAGTCACTGAGTTCACTTGTGTTCACTGAGAATAAGAAGAAGGAATAAGAAGAAGGAATAAGAATAAGAAATAAGAAGAAGGAAGAAGGAATAAGAAAAAAGGGAATAGGAAGAAGGAATAAGAAATAAGAAGAAGAATAAGAATAAATTCCCCGCACATTCCAAAGAGAGAATCACTCCTTCAGTGCCTTGTGAAATACAAGAGAGGGACCCCAACATACAAAGATACTGACACTGTGTTTTGTAGACTGACTGTAGTCTGTAGACTGTAGTACTGAGTACTATAGTACTGTGTTACTGACAGACTGACAGTGACACTACTGAGTACTGTAACTGTGTAGTGTAGTCTACAGCGTAGAGTAGACCGTAGTTTGATACTACTAATGATAGCCTGGTTATCAAAACTGGCAAAAGTTTGTAGGGCTCATAGGGTCTATGTCCCCCAGAGTACTGCCGGAACGTACCCTGGGTACGGTTCGGTATACCGGAACGTACCCTGGGTACGGTTCGGTATACCGGAACGTACCCTGGTCACTATTTGATATGGTTAGGGTTAGGGAGTAGGCGTAGGCGACTCCCTAGACTCGTTAGTGGAGTAGGCGAGGTACGGTCCGGCATATTAGATAGTACCAGGGTACGTTCCGGCAGTACCCCGGGGGACATAGACCCTCTCAGCGTTAGTAGGCACAAGTTTCTACGTATGTCGGTATGAGACGTCTGAACTAGTTTAGTTATAATATAAACACAACTCGTTAACGTGGGTTAACAGTAACAATGGAAAAATGCCGAATGGACAGAATTAAGTGAGTACACGTGCAGTCTCTTGCACAATTCTAGTTTTGAACCCCAGGCCCAGCTTTCTTTTTTCGCAAATGTGCTAAACTAATCCAGGTTGCTAAGCTAGGATTGGGCCCATGTAGTCTATATCAGCCGGTCTTTCATGGGAGAGTAGGGACAGTGATTTTCTGCGATCGCGGAAAACGGACGGAAAACACGGAAATGGCCATTGGAAACGGAAAAGATGTTTTCAAACGAAAAAACGCGGAAAACGTAATTTGAACATATTACAACATGGAAATTTCAATAAAATCACACAAACACAATCGACAATAGCATTGGTAATGATTATATGGTTTACATTCAGACAAGTTTCAGAGCGAAATGACTTACAATTACGACTTTTGGTAGCCCTGTGTTTCAGTGCCGGTTCCGGTTTCAAAGGTTGTACCAAATACTTTTTTTTCATGCAAATATATGTAAACGGAATTTTGAATTTTTGGTGTGTACAATCTCTATGGCAAAACGGAATTTCCATTTTTTCTTTACTTTGGAATGGAATTCATGATTTTCCCAAACGGAAAAGGCAATTTTTTGAAACGGAAAATCACTGTCCCTAGGAGAGTTAACCTAGTATTGCTAATGCAGTATCTAGTATGGACTTTGTTAGTTATCTAGTATGGCTAACTAACTTAGTATTGCTAATGCCTCCTTTCTTATTGCTGTTTACAGCATCAAAAGTTTAATAAAACCTGCCTATAACTTTGTTCTTTCTAGCTAACTGAGAAACATGGCGGATTGGGAAGACAGGAGGAACGAAGGTGGGAAGCCGCCAAGGATACCTAGTGCAAAAGCAGGTTATCGATTTGACAAAAGAGATGTGACTGTACAACCTCCAGGTAATGTAAAGAGAGTAGGGTGTAAAATAAATTTGTCTGCATGTGGTGGTGGTTAGGTGTATAAGTATAAATTGCATTGTCTAGATGTAGCAATCTCAAACATTTATTAACATCAAATCTAACTTGGAAATCTCTGTAATTCATTAGTTGTGTTTAATTTATTATACAGAACAGAGAACTATTGATAATGAAATATTAATTCATAATATCTGCAATTGTTACTTTGAGACAGCAGTATTTTGTACATTCATCATTTTCTTTACGTGATTATACAGGAAGAAATTATGACCGAGGACATGCTTCTATGGATGATCTTCCTGGGAATGGTAAACCTCACCTAGTTAGAAGACCAGAGATAAAGCAGCCAGGAAACTTCTTACCTCATGAAATGTTCCCGGAAGGACCTGAGTGGGTGGCCAATCTTCAGATGCTATGGGCAAAGGACAAGAAAAAGTCGGTGGCGACAATAGCTACATACCTCTCTCAGATTTTTGATACTGTGGAAAACCCTTTCCTTGCTGCTATCTACCTGACAGAAACACCGGCAGACTATTTCCCAGGCCGATGGAATAGCTTATCAACAATGGTGATGAATGCATTTGAAAACTGGATTCGTCCAAAAAAGGATCAATATAAACACTACCTGACAGAAGAAATTCAGAGAGTAAGCAAGCAATTTGGCTGATAGTTATACTTTTTAAATTCTTAGTGCTTTATACATAAAATAACGAAATTGGTTGTTAAATCTGTGTGGGTTGTGTTCTTTTTGATAATGTGTGTGCATGATGAGAGAGTGTAAAGTGGATGTTTGAATTATAGTAATGCACACTGCAAAAATATATATAGGTATCACCGTATGTGGTAAAAAAGTTTTGTTGCTCGCACTCTTAACTGTTACAGAATTGTTCTTTACAGATGGCATTTGCACTGGCCAATCGCAATGGTCTAGTCCTGCTGAAATTTGTAGTACAGGCCTTTGAGTTGAAAAACTGTGCTTTCTCGTGTGAAGATATAGAGGACATGCTTAACAGAAAGATGTACAAAGAAGCAAGCCTAGTCATAACAGCATTGGATCTACAGCGATACTTCAACTTGCGAGAGGTAGACATGGAATTGAGTCGTGTGGTTAAATCTTGTGACCGAATGTCACCGACTGACTGTAACTTCCTTTTTGTCAAAGTATGAATTTATTAACCTGTGTATTCATTAAATGTGGTGGGACAGTAACAGACACTCTAAGTTATATTCAACATTAGTTGATCATCACAACGCTGCTCCTGTGCTTGCTGATGATTGAAGCCATTTTGTTCTACTTGTCAAGTCTGTAATGTTTCAGTGTGTGACTTAAATGAGTACTAGAGAGCTATGCATAGCTAAAGTTTAGGAAAGCATCTGGTCATTGCATTTTCTGTTGTAGATGTCACTAATGATCAGTCTTGTAACTGGTTGTTTGCAAAATGTTTCTGGGACAAAGAAATTGCATTTCTGGCGATGTTGAGATCTTATGAGATTACACTCGCCTCTTTCAGGTAGCATTGCCTCTGATTTTACAAGATAGAGCACCCCTAGCTGAGGCTTATGTTAGGGATTACAAAGACCTGCAGGTTTCATTCGTATCAATACTGGATGAACTATGTGCTAAAACAGTTAACTTTGATGATATAATAAGGTAAGAAATTGCTATTTTGGTGTTTTGCAAAAAAGACAATTAAAAAGTTTAAAACAGAAATTCCTATTGTGCTCGTCCTCAAACTCAGGTGTACAGACTAAGGAAGTTTTATGTCAGAGCATATAAGTATTTGTTATGGCTGAACACACTGTAGTAAACATCTTGTTTTAATACACATTTTAGAGAGATGGATGTTCCTGTTGCCTGTGTACAACGCCAAAAAGTCAACCGAAAGGGTCTAAACAAGCTCGCATCCAAGCTTATTAAACTGTTTAACATCCCAATAGGTAAGTAGTATTGCAGCGGGTCAGCTCGTCTAAACCGATGCCTTCTATTTCATCTTACTCCTATTTCTTGTGTGTGCATACCTTGTGTTATCAGTGAGCACTCCTCCTGACAAGGTTAACACGGTTTTCCATTGATATAATCCTAGTCAGTATTCTTGTCCAAATGATGCGTTCTACTTGTAGTCATTGCTCCGGAGTGATAGTGCACCATTGATTGTACTGTTACACAAGTTAGTAGAATAAAGAAGTTATGAACATAGAATGCAATAGACTAGCAGTATGTTACTTATTATACTCTTTACTCCAAGGTTTCAATGTGTTAAGGTTACAAATGATAATGTCCACTGCTTAAGCTATACAACTATTTTCAATTGCTTGAGAAACAATGATATGAATTACGATGTAAACTTGAAGCCAGTGTCTGCCGTGAATGATGAACTAGTTGCTGTTACATAGCCCGAGACTCATTTTAAAGGCTTTCGGGAACTTCTTGCCACTCAACAGTCTCGATCTTTCTATTCAGTCTTGCTTGTTGCATATTTCATTAAATTGCCCTCATGCATGGTCTGGACGTATTAATATAACTTGCCTATTTCTCGTTTACACCTACCAAATCAGGAGTCTATCAATAGACATCAATATTGATAGACTCCTGACCAAATGAGTCCACAAACCCCCATTCCTCCTACTTGGACGTCTACCACCATGGAATTTGTAATTAAATGTCCGTCTGTTATGGGTCACTGACTTCATGCTGCATGTGCATGTATGTACAATTAATTACCGAAAAGCCTTCATAGTTATGTAGTTGCTGCCTGTTTCTGAATGTTTAGATGATCGGGGGTGCCAGTTTAAAAGGGCATGGCTCAAGGTTTGCTGCCTGTTTTCAGTAAGATCATATATGTACACAGTATACATATATACGCAAGTGTACGTATATTATATGCTCATGGTATTGTCAGAAGCAATTGTTTGTGCTGTATCTATTAATGATCATTATGTTCACCAGCACTCATAATTCAGTTATAGTGTATACTGCATGCTTGAAGAGCTACTGTGATTGCAACCACTTTTATGAGGCGCGATGATGCGCGCACCATGGCACAATTTATGGTGCGCGGTGGAGCGCGAGCGCGATCGCGCCCCTTAAAAATGAAAGCCTGTGATTGTCTTCTTTTCTACCATTTCCTCACAGAGAGCTGTCCAAATATTTGCCACATGAGAAATCTGGGATCGTTGAAGTATGCTCTATACAAACATTATGTAGAAGGCAGCATGACTAAAGAAAATCTTCAGGAAATGATCGAGGTACAGTGACGTTAGCGTTCATTATTCATTTTCGATTGGAGGGCGAGACGTAGGATACTCACGTCCAACCAACAGTTAGCGATGCGTAGCCTCTGTGTGGAACTCTGACGTCTCTAATTGCACTTTGCATGCAGGAATCTGTTGGCGAGAACCCATTGCTGCATGAAGAGCTCATAACACTGCTAGTCGGGTTTGGTGACTCGGCACGCGCTGCCTGGTGGGCACGACGACTCAGAGTTCCCCACGATACTCTTCCCTCGTCGGTTCGGCTAGCCACGAAGGAGCTGGGTGAATGGTAGGAAGCACTGTTGAGTGTAGGCAGAGACTTTGCATTGCTGATTATCAGCCCGGAGTCGTCAAGAATATATGAATAGTGGGAATTGTGGGAATGAGTATTTTTCACTGTATGCAGTTTTAGATGTCTTTGGTACTAAATTGTTTGCATCCATAATTTGTGTAACCATCACCTGAAAAATCACAAGTGTTATGAATTGGAGGTTGGGGGAACCATCCAAATGAATTTCTGTTTGTGACGTGAGTTCATTTTCTCGACCTTGCTATGTAATTTTATCTTAACGGAAGGCATCACAACGTATCGCTCACGTACACTCGCAATGTCACTCCCTCTGATGCTCGTGTCGATGCCCCGCAGGTGTGACGGTGCAGACGATGACGGCGCGGCGCGGGATGCGACGGACACGCGCTACCTGCAGCTGAAGCTGTCACTGGAGAGCGTCTACTACATCGACACAGTCGAGCAGCTGCGGCAGGCCGTCGAGTTTCTGTCGCAGCACGCCACTGTCGTCGGTCTCGATGCCGAATGGAAGCCCTCGATTGGCACAAAGAAGGAACGGTGAGGCTACGCGAACGCGTGTGTGCGATGAGGCTGCATGCATCATCACGTCTCCATTTTCATCCTCGAGTGTCTGCTCTGCGAGCTGCGCTAATTAACGAATTAATTAATAATTAATTGAAAATCAACTATATTAATTACCTAATTAAGCGAACTGATTAAATCAATTAATTAATACCCACCTAATTAGTTGAGCTGGTAATTGAATTATGATGGTATACCTAAGGAGCTGTGGATAGGAAACTTTCTTTCCTGGAGTGTTTAGTAATCTCTGCCAGTGCTACCTAGATTGTGTGAAATTGTTTTTGTTGTGTTGCTCTGTCTGTATTCTCTATTTATCATCACAGGATGTCACTGCTGCAGATTGCTACCAGAGATAAGTGTTTTCTGCTAGATCTAGTGGCACTGCCAGACACAACGACGGATAGCGATTGGGAAGACTTTGTAAAACGAATATTTTGCAATGAGAAAATATTGAAGTTGGGTACGTATTCATGGCAAGAAGTTCTTATTGTGCTTTCTTGCGCACTGTTTACCTGTCTCTCTCCTGCTACTGATCAAGAACAATGTAGAATATTTGCATTAATTACCAATCAACTATCTAATTGAATAAGTAACATAAGTAATAGTCTGCATCGTCATGTCGTTATCAACGATGGGTTCCATGGATTCATTGATCTTCACAGTTTCCTGCAAGTTAATTTCACATCTATAGCATTAATTTAAAGTTACACGGTGTTCATGTTTTGAATTTCTAACTTGGTGGGTTAAGTTTGTTATTAATCTACTATGTTGTATATGTCGTTATCACTGGGAAAACTTTGTATCAATCTTACGTCTGCTCCACAGGTTTCGCTTTCGACACAGACCTGAGCATGCTGAGCAAATCCTTTCCATCTACCAAGGAGCATCTGATGGGGATGAGACGAGTAGTGGACATATTTACACTCAACAATGAGGTGCGATATGGCAGTGTGTGGGATGTCTCGCCTCCTTCTCTCCACCATCTTGGCTCATTCGAACATGGCTACATGCTATGGTGTGACCACTTAATTCAGTAAAATTAAAATGAGTCGTAAAACGCAAGAGTTGACCGGTGTTAACTTGTTGTAGCTGTTGCACCGGGCATGGTTAGCTGACCAGTCGCTGACCAGTTTTTCAGCCTAACGAGCCGTCGCATGTCAGTAGCTAATTAGCGTCCAGCATGGCTAGCTGACCGTCGTCTAGCATCATTACTCATAATATTAATAAATTAAATTAAAAAATAAATAATTAACAAAATAATTATAACATGTTTTCCCAGCTAAAAAAGGCCTGCCCTGACCTGCATGTGAATTCACACACGCCTGCTGGCGACGGGGTGTCGGTGCAGTACCGGGGCCTGAGCGAGCTTGTCTACCAGTGCCTGGGGCGCCCTCTAGATAAGCGTGAGCAGTACTCGAACTGGGAGCGGCGGCCGCTTCGCAAGTCGCAGCTCGTCTATGCAGGTACGCACGACTCTGGGACTCGTTGTCAGAAACAAAATTAGTCTTAACATTAGTCTTAACATTAACTTCCACTCGTAAACAGTTGACAGAAACATCACAAAGTTACGAGAATGAAAAATCCTCGCAAATATCCTCTTAACATTACGAGAGCCCAGACCCTCTCGTAACTTTAATATTAAGATAAAAATAACAACACATTTACACTAAGAATTACAATTATTAAAGTTTCTGTCAACGGGCCGGGCCCCTGGTCGCTCTCGCTGACGTCACCTGAGGAGGAGTGGTGGTCCAGCGGATGGCATGCTTGGCCTCGGGCTGCGAAGTCCGTGTATCGAATCCATCCATGATTAGGACAACATCTTACTTCTGTTGTGATCACGTGTGAGGGACTTTTTCGCCGTGTGCTTCAGTTGGCACCAGCTGTAGAGATGGATTCAGAGTGAGATAGCTCCGTGGGGACAAACCTGGCTTGAACACAGATGGCTTGAATTCTGGTTCAGTCCAGTCGCCACTAGCTCCTGTGTGTCTCTGAGCTGGTTGCTTTGCTAGCATGTCCTAATGTCAGAGATAGTATGTACCCTGTAGCAAGTAATGTTCATGGAAAATACGAGTTCATCGCTCGTTAAAAGAGGATAATTATTCAGCGAGCGTTTACCGAGTATAAAACTGCCTCTTTTTGCCGACACTGTACAGTGCTCGACGCGTGCTGCCTCCTGGAGGTGTACGACGTGCTCATTGCGAGGGCCCAGCAGCGCAACCTTGATGTTGACCTTGAGCCGGCCATCTCGAGCGGGTGGGCGACGAAGCGCACGAAGATAGAGAAGAATCAGGCCAAGTTGAAGGAATATGGAAGCATTCCCAAGGTAGGTCGAAGATGTCAATAATGCGAGAGGGTCATCGCAAAACGTTTTTGTTCTAAACACTGCACCGTTTTCCTCTATAAACCAGCCCTGTTTTCCCATATAAACATGCACCATTTTGCCTTAGTTAACTTGTGCCATCTCCCCATATAATCTTACACCATTTTGTTTGGATTGTTACGCTTGACTGCGACCCAGCAGAGGAAACGTCATCATGATCACGAACTGGCCAAAAAATAGTCTAAGCCTCCTCACCATTGCACATGCTTACTCTACACATGCTCACTCTACACGTGCTCACTACACATGCTCACTCTACACGTGCTCACTCTACACATGCTCACTCTACACGTGCTCAGCTCTACACGCTGCTCACTACTCCACTGCTCACTTTACACATGCTCACTCTACACATGCTCACCCTACACATGCTCACCCTACACGTGCTCACTCTACACATGCTCACTCTACACGTGCTCACTCTACACATGCTCACTTTACACATGCTCACTTTACACATGCTCACTCTACACATGCTCACCCTACACGTGCTTACTCTACACGTGCTCACTCTACACGTGCTTACTCTACACGTGCTCACCCTACACATGCTCACTCTACACATGCTCACTCTACACATGCTCACTCTACACATGCTCACCCTACACACGCTCACTCTACACATGCTCACTCTACACATGCTTACTCTACACATGCTTACTCTACACATGCTCACTCTACACATGCTTACTCTACACATGCTTACTCTACACATGCTTACTCTACACATGCTCACCCTACACATGCTCACTCTACACATGCTTACTCTACACATGCTTACTCTACACATGCTTACTCTACACGTGCTTACTCTACACGTGCTCACTCTACACATGCTCACTCTACACATGCTTACTCTACACATGCTCACTCTACACGTGCTCACTCTACACATGCTCACTCTACACATGCTTACTCTACACATGCTCACTCTACACATGCTTACTCTACACATGCTCACTCTACACGTGCTCACTCTACACACGCTCACTCTACACGTGCTCACTCTACACACGCTCACTCTACACATGCTCACCCTACACATGCTAACTCTACACATGCTGACTACACGTGCTCACTCTACACGTGCTCACTCTACACGTGCTCACTCTACACGTGCTCACTCTACACGTGCTCACTCTACACGTGCTCACTCTACACGTGCTTACTCTACACATCCTCACCCTACACGTGTTTAATTCGTCTGTCTCCATGAACAGGAGTACATGATTGCGCTGGACCCGCATCGCGCGGCGGTGCGCGCTCACGACTTCCGCGTCGTCGTCGACACGATGCTGCAGGGTCTCGGGCGGCAGCTGCGTCGCTGCGGCGTTGACGTGTGCATCCTCAACAACAACGACTACCACGACGTCGCTGCGAAGATAGCGCAGGCCGAGGGACGAGTCGTCCTGACGATGGGCGAGCCATACCAAAGCGTGAGTGTCGGCGCCAGAGTGCTGGCGGCGAGGCCTGTGATAGGTTAAAATTATGATTTTGATGCGGATGCAGAGGGAATGGAATCGACGCTAGTAGTGTGTGCGGGTATTTGATCGGTAGAAAGCATGTTGTTGTTGTTGCCATGCATACTGACTCGCCTGTTATAATTTGGCAAAATTCTGGGGTGTTTTTATTTTCATGTTCTACATTTATTTTTCATCACTTTAATCTTATTTTTTATTTACTCATGCTGTACATATTATTCGCGTGTGCGTAGTGGTGAAGTAATTCTCGCAAATGAACATTTACTGATGCGCAATCATTCCTACATTTCTGTGCAGCTGAGGAATCACGTCGGGGAGGGCATGTGCATGAGCGTTACCCCAGGGCCACTGCAGGAGCAGGTGGTGCAGGTGCTGAGACAGTACAACGTCACACTAACGCCCGAAGACATCTTCAGCCGCTGTCAGGTAAGCCGGTTTCTCTCCTGCACTGCTCCTGTAACCTCTTGGTTCGACGAATTTAGTGATATATTTTAGCAGTGTTCCTGTACTAAGATCTTGAGAGCAGTATGTATCTACATCAGAAAGCTGTCAGCAGTCAGTAGTTTCTGCATGAACAAGCTGTTATCTATTACTATTGCTGCAAACATGTATATAATAGTGTGTATGTGCGGCATGTGTGCATGCGTACGTGCATGTGTCTGTGTTTGTGTGCGTGCGTGCGTGCCTCGGCGCGCATGTGTGTGCGTGTGTGCTCATGGGTATTTCTAATAAACTTCTGCGAAATGCTGAAGGCTACTGTTTGCAGTAGTGTCGTGAGAGTGGCCGCTATACGATATGCTATTCATATTCCGACCCGTCATCTCCCTCCACCTCCTGCTAGCGTCCTACCGAAGGTGTTTCTTTTGCACCCGCCAGGTGTGCAACGGAGGCGAGTACGTGCACATCCCCGGTGACGTGATGCGGAGGCTGTGGCAGCGGAAGATGCAGCTGCTGGCTGCTGGCGAGCACGCGGCTAACGAGGAGCCCGAGTACACCGGCAAGTTCGCGCGGAAGCTGCGTCGCGCCGTTCACGTGAACACACACGACGGCGACCGTGCAGACGACGTCGGTCGGCACGGCGACGACCGCGGCGCGGCAGTGGAGGATGGCGGCGAGGCGTCTGGCGGCAGCATGATGGCGCTCGACGGACACACGATCGACTGTGACGCGGTGACCGTTAACGGAGCCGTGTCGCTGAAGGTCGCCGCTGTGCCACAGGGCATCGTCGACAAGGTGGGACTGTTTGATTGCTGCGTGACGTGTGGTAAGGTCTACTGGGACGGCAGCCATTTTGGAAAGGTGTGTGCGCAATTTGCGGACGCGCTCGAATTGACAAAGTAGGTGCGCTGCAGCAGTGACTGTAACAATTAAACAAATTTATCAAATTATTTCAAATTCGTGATGGCTGTTGGTAGTTCCTACACTGTATTGTAATGTGGCGCACTATGTCGTAAATACTGCAAGGTGCAATATCTTGCTTTCCTACAATTGTGCACTTTTCTTTGCCCATTTTTATTAGCTGTGTTGTACCTGATATTGCTCGTGATTATGTGTCTAGTTAGGAATTATATATCTGAATTCCAAAAGTTAAACAACACTCTTTTGATTCTCAGCATCAGAATTATGCACCCTGTCTGATGCATACCAGGTTTTAGTGTTCATTATCAATGACAAAAACTAAAAGCCTGAAAGCCTTTGCTTGCACTGCTCTTTATGATGATCAAGAAACTTTAATAAACATAATAATGTGTTTAATATAGCTTCTTGGTGCTGACGACGGAAGTTATGGTATAAAGGTTTTCGCTTTCCTTGTTTTTTTAATAACAGCTTATCGTTTTGTCTACAATTAAAATATTAAAGGATTGCAATAATTTAGCTATGTATGAAATTATTGGTTATTTATGCTACGATAGTTTTTGCATCGAATAATAGATTCTTTATCTGTGAAATCAGGAGATATCACAACCTCTGTGTTGCAAATAAGCGCAATTCACAGGTTATCACTGTAGGGGGCAGCACAATGTCAAACGTCCATGATCTTGTTAATTTCGAATATTTGTTTATTTTGTTTATTTTTTAAATCTGCTTAATCAATTTTATTGGATATGTCACCCAATTAAACCATGATTTACGGGGAGTAGTGCTTAATATCACATCAGTGTTTTTATCGCTGACAAAACTACCTAAAATCGTAGTCTATTATAATTTCTGCCTATCACCATGTATTTCAGTTAAATCGGGCATCATTTATACGCTACATTATTATTACTATGCAATATGTTTATGTTTACAAGCGTTGGTGTTGATAATACTCCTGGTGTGACCTGGATGGAAAGGTGTGGGTTGAGATGACGTATAATGTTCCTGTATTATGTATATGCGGGTAATAGTAATTTTTGTCTTGTTCCATTGTTTCCGGGAAGTTTTACCTGTGTTTTCTAAGAGAACCTGAATTATTTCATGTTTTTTTAATATTCAAACTCCGATAGTCATATGTGTAACGTAAATATATACTGTGCATAATTCTGTGCGTATACTGTGCAGTGTTCTGCTGCGTAATAAATATGGGCCAGGTTCAGTGTCTGCGATGGAGAGTTAATGAAATTGACCCTACCCAAACTTATTGCTGACTACCAACTACTGACCTACTCTGCAACTCGTGATTATTGCAATCAAAAGGTTTGGTGAAGGAACAGTGCAAGCAATAAGTTTTTATGCAGTATGATTATTGTTCTTCCAATTCCACGAATGCATTATTAAAATGCCTGTAACTCGTCCAGTTTTTCACAAAGTTCGCTTTCCTTATAGTGGATCCAATATTCCTTCCGTGTTCTCAGTACAGTCGGGAATAATATTAGTTTGGTATCATTTTATTTACTATAGAATAATTATGTGTTTTACCAAGTGATTTTGTTTTATGTAATTTTGAAAGAGACTAATTATGGCGAATAGAATCAACTTTAAAAATAGCAGATAGAAGGTAACATGCGGTTATCTGGTTTAATGAAGTTGGGCTTAGTATGTGCGAGGTGAGACGAAGATATCAAAATAACATTTTACGTGTTGTCTAAGATTGAGGAGATCAAGCTCCAGAATGCTACATTCGTGTTATTTTTAATAAATGAATATATCTAATAGTAAACATCTTACAATTCTTTATATGAGCAGCATTATATTAGCATTTAAGTATATTTTTTAGAATAATATTTCTGTGCTGAATATTAGTATTATATACATGTTATAGTATTGCACGCACGCACGCACGCACGCACGCACGCACGCACGCACGCACGCACACACACACACACACACACACACACACACACACACACAGCGCTCTCTATAACATACACAGAGATGTAGCATGTTGCTTCTGCGAAAGTGATACGAGTGTCTGTGGTAACCAGTTAAACATACGTACATATTGCAATACGTAACCGCGTCTTGGGGCGCTAGGTATCACATGAGCGACCTCGATTTTCTTCAGTCGCCATGGCTAGTAACCATGGTTAGTCTGAAAGTACTATAGGTGAGGCTAATGAAATTACACACCGACCACGCGTCGCGCCAGGAACATGGCATGCGGTACGCCGAGCCCATATATATATATATATATATATATATATATATATATATATATCAATTAGGGGTGAATGATGACAGATGATCTGTAATTATTAAACCCTAATACCGATACATGCATACATTATGATTACATACAAGATATTCATCCTGTTTCTTAAGCAAGGGGCAAGAAAGGCTTGCTGACGTGACGAGGGGTGGGACCTGAGGACGAGACGGCGGGATATACGCTGAGGGCGGAAGAAAAGAAAGGAGGTAACGAAGGGGCGCAGAAGGCAATGGAAAATAAAACGGGAGGGGATGACAGTTTTTGCCCCCTGCAGGATAGGGGCGCTCTCGCTAATTATAAACGCAGGTCACATATAGAAATTTATTCTGAATCTATTGCTGAGATTACCGCACTAACGAATATAAATGCGATTCTAAAAATTAGGGTCTTCGTGTTCGGTGGAGATATTGCGCATGCGCGCTAACACTCTAATGTAGTCCAAATTGTGTAGCTCGATTTGGGATATGGCAGCGGACACGCTTACATGCAGGTATTCGTTTATTATTTAGTGGGTCTACGGATATGTTTGTTATCATATAAATCTTCTGGGCATACTGCTCTTCCTTTAAATGCATGAATTTTTTGCGATAAATCTTCTTCTATGAGATATTGGCTTGCGCGAGCAACGTTTCCGGGCTCAGAACGGACGGGAAGAACACTGCATGATCTAGCTTGCTGGTGGGAGAGAGGGTGGACACTGAGAACAGACGGCGGAGGGGGAAGTATAGGTGAGGGCGGTAAACGAAGAAGGAGTATGCAGCGAGGGGCAATGAATAGCAGTGGGAAACGGGAGGGAATAAAAGTAAAGTTTCGCCGCCTGCAGGCTGAGAGGCGCTCTCTAATTATAAACACTCAGGTCTCACATATAAAAATTTATTTCAGAAAATCGTATGCTGGATACCCGCATAACGATAATAAATGCATATTCATCCGTCAAAATATAGCTCCTTGTGGGGAGATAGTTTGCGCCTGGGCGAAAACCCTCTAAATAGGCCATAGTTGTGTACTACTGATTGAATATGCATGGCGGACACCCTTACATGGCAAGGTATTCGTCCTACCTCTTGAGATGAGAGTCTATGGATGCTATTTTATGCATATAAATCTAGTCTGGATACATCTCTTATTTAAATGCATCAATTTTTGCAACCTAATGTTATTCTCTCATCACGATATTGCGTTAGGGCGGGCACCTTTCAGGGGCTTAGAACGGACTGAAGCAAACTGCATATGTAGGTTGCGAACTGAGAGAGGATTGGGAGACTGCAGACAGACTAGGAGGACGACGGCAGGAAGAGAATAGCTGGGGGCGGTAGGATGAAGAATGGAGTCTGTTGTCTGGCAAGGGGCAAGAAAGACCGTGGGAAACGCGGAGTGAAGTAATAGTTTTCACCGGCTGCAGGTAGGGCGCTCCTCCTAATTATAAACGACAGTTTACAGTATAAAATTTATTTCAGAATTCTATGCTGAGATACGCCGCTAACCAATAATAAATGCGATATTCTCAGGAAAATTAGCTTTTGTGGTGAGATATTGCGCTGCGCTAACGCCTCCTAACATAGCCAAGATTGTTACTGTTGGCATAGTGCAAGCGACACTTACATGCAAGGCATTCGTCTTAGCTCATTAAGTGAGGTCTATGGATGTATCCCTGATGGGTATGTTATGAACTATAAATCTATGCTGGGATACGCTGCTCGTTCAATTTTTAACATGCATGAATTTTTGCAAAATGTTATCTCCTTCTCAATAAATATTGCGCATGCGCGAGCACCCTTTCAGGGGCTTAGAACGGACTGAAGCAAACTGCATAATGTAGCTTGCTGAATGATAGAGGGTTGGGAGACTGAGGACAGACGGCAGGAAAGATAGCTGAGGGTGGTAGACGAAGGAGTCTATGCAAGGGACAAGAAAGACAGTGGGAAAACGGGAGGGGATGAAGTAAGAGTTTTGCACCCTGCAGGCTAGGGCGCTCTCCTAATTATAAACACAGGTTTACATATAAAAATTTATTTCAGAAATCTATGCTGAGATACCTCCTAACCATAATAAATGCATATTCATCAGAAAAAATAGCTCCTGTGGTGAGATATTGCGCATGCGCTAACCCCCTAACATAGCCAGATTGTGTACTGATTGGCATATGCAGCGGACACCTTACATGCAAGCGATTCGTCCTATTTCTTAAGTGAAGTCTACGGATGGTATGTTATCATATAAATCTATGCCGGGATACCTGCTCTTTATTTTAAATGCATAATTTTCGCAAAATATTGTTCTCATGAGATATTGCGCTTGCGCGAGCACCTTTTCCGGCGCTCAGAACGGACTGAAGCAAACTGCATAATGTAGCTTGCTGAATGAGAGAGGATTGGGAGACTGCAGGAAAGACGGCAGGGAAGATAGCTGAAGGCGGTAGACGAAGAAGGAGTATAAGCGAGGGGCTAGAATAGCAGTGGGAAAACGGGAGGAAAAAAGTAAAAGTTTTGCACCCTGCAGGCTAGGGCACTCTCCTAATTATAAACACAGGTTCACATATAAAAATTTATTTCAGAAATCTATGCTGAGATACCCGCCAACCATAATAAATGCATATTCATCAGAAAATATAGCTCCTGTGGTGAGATATTGTGCATGCGCTAACCCTCTAACATAGCCAGATTGTGTACTGATTGGCATATGCAGCGGACACCTTACATGCAAGGTATTCGTCCTACCTCTTAAGTGAGGTCTATGGATGGTATCCTGATGGTATGTTATGATATAAATCTATGCTGGGATACCTGCTCTTCATTTTAAATGCATAATTTTTGCAAAATGTTATTCTTCTCATAAGATATTGCAAGATATTGCGCATGCGCGAGCACCCTTTCAGGGGCTTAGAACGGACTAAAGCAAACTGCATAATGTAGGTTGCTGAATGATAGAGGGTTGGGAGACTGAGGACAGACGGCAGGAAATATAGCTGGGGGCGGTAGACGAAGAAGGAGTCTATGCAAGGGGCAAGAAAGACAGTGGAAAAACGGGAAGGAATGAAGTAATAGTTTTGCACTCTGCAGGCTAGGGCGCTCTCCTAATTATAAACACAGGTCTACATATAAAAATTTCTTTCAGAAATCTATGCTGAGATACCCGCTAACCATAATAAATGCATATTCATCAGAAAATATAGCTTTTGTGGTGAGATATTGCGCATGCGCTAACCCTCTAACATAGCCAGATTGTGTACTGATTAGCATATACAGCGGACACCTTACATGCAAGGTATTCGTCCTATTTCTCAAGTGAGGTCTACGGATGGTATGTTATCATATAAATCTATGCGGGGATACCTGCTCTTCATTTTAAATGCATAATCTTTGCAAAATATTATTCTTCTCATGAGATATTGGGCATGCGCGAGCACCGTTTCAGTCGCACAGAACGGATTGAAGCAAACTGCATGATATAGCTTGCTGAGTGAGAGAGGGGTGAGACACTGAGGACAGACGGCAGGGAAGATAGCTGAGGGCGGTAGACGAAGAAGGAGTACAAGCGAAGGGCAAGAATGGCAGTGGAAAAACGGGAGGGAATAAAGTAAAAGTTTTGCACCCTGCAGGCTAGGGCGCTCTCCTAATTATAAACACAGGTTCACATATAAAAATTTATTTCTGAAATCTATGCTGAGATACCCACTAACCATAATAAATGCAGATTCATCAGAAAATATAGCTTCTGTGGTGAGATATTGCGCATGCGCTAACACTCTAATGTAGCCAAATTGTGTACTGATTGGCATATGGAGCGGACACCTTACATGCAAGGTATTCGTCTTATTTCTTAAGTGAGGTCTACGGATAGTTTGTTATCATATAAATCTTCTGGGATACCTGCTCTTCATTTTAAATGCATAATTTTCGCAAAATATTCTTCTCATGAGATATTGCGCTAGCGCGAGCACCGTTTCCGGCGCTCAGAACGGACTGAAGCAAACTGCATGATATAGCTTGCTGAGTGAGAGA